GAAACGGGAGAATGTAGAGAATGTAATTGATATCATATAACTTAATATTTTAATTTTAATTTGATTCAACAAAATGTTTTAATTTTATACAATTTTTGAGGCGCGTGCCGCGTTAACCCCCTTGCACTATGATTTTTTTCTCAACCACGTTGATCAGCACTTCTTCGTTCTTAACACGTTGAATGCCACGCCGGTTTTACAGAAATTGTCCGCGGCGCCACGATGAATTTTCTTTTATGCGATACATATAATGTTGAAATATTATCTGCAATAGATAAGTTACAGTGTATAACCATGTTTGACGTGTTAATTGCGACAGGGGTCACTGTTTGAATTGACGATGATAATAATACAAAATTTTAGATATTGACATTTGTTTTAAATTGTATATATTTCTATCAATTTGGGCGTGCCGGTCACCGGTGGCCCCCATGGCGTCACCGCCAAGTTAAGTGCCGATCACCGGCGACCCCCGTGGCATTCAACGTGTTAATATTAGAATTTCCTTGATAGTACGAGACTATTTTTTCTTTACCGTTAAATAGAACTGTTTATTATATAAACCGACTCTGCTCTATTGTAAATCGTTATCTTGATTCTCACCCTTTCCGTTCATACCGCCCGCTAATGAGGTTGCGCTTTTATCTAATTTTCGCTTTTATCTAATTATATGCACATAAGTACAATATTTTAAAGCACCTTCCGTGTCCTTATACGTACATCATACAGTCAAACAATTGTTTCTTGTACGTCTTCGTTCACTTTCATTCTTAAACATCGATAAAAGAGGAATCAAATCTTGTTCCGACTTAGAGGAAACGAATAACATTCGCGCAATCACGGTGCAATGTGGTAATATAGTGAACGATCGGAAAAATGCGTTCGGTCCGAATTGGACTATCGGAATCGTCGCGCAGGGGGCGCCGCAATTTTTGGCAGCGCACTGGCAGCGAGCGCCGAAAACGACGGCACGGTACGGGTTCCCACAGAGATTAGATGGCGGCTGCAGGGGTTACAGATTTCCCATAAAGCGGCAACGACGCATCGAATCCGGTGCACGGTCGCGTGAATAAAAAAGAGGAGAAAACGAGAGAGCCCCTCGCATAGACAGCCTCGTGTTCTCTGGCGTAGAGAAGGTTCAATGACCAGAGATAAAACGCGCGGCGGCGTGCCGTCGTAAAATCGTGGAACTAGAGGCCGGCGCGGTTCGAGAGCGGACCGGAAGACGGAAAGCGGAAAGCGGACACGAAGGTTTCAGAGGAGAGCGACACGCGCCGGCGGGATTCTGAACGGCCGTCGGGCGACGGGAAATTAACGCGTTCGATTTTGGCCGGATCGAAATCGAACGGCAGCAAACGCTGCAGAAACGGAGCGAGTTTTCGGGGCCCGAAAATCGAGTTTCACGAGCAATCGAGACGCAACCGCTCGTAAAAACAAGCCAGGAAATGCTGATTACCCGGTGGTCGTCTCCGCGTATCGCTATATTTAAGCTCCGATTTATGGCGAGAACGCGTTCCAGTTAGGAGCGCAGCGGCGTTTCGATTCGATCGGCGTTGCATCCGCGCGAGGACCCGGCTAATTATTTAGTTGGACAAAACCGAGCATGTCGCAACGCGCGGCGATTGAAACGCCGAGTCGAGTCGAGCCGGGCTGAGCCCTGTCCGTGATTTATGCAAATCGACACAGCGTCCCCGCGTAATTCGAATTTCCTTTCTCCCTCCCCCGTTGCGTCTCGCCGTGTCGCGTCGCGTTGGTTTTCGTAGGTTTCGGGGCCGCGGTTACGGTCAATTACAGTCGTTGAACATTGTTTCGTTATAACATAATGGGCGCCGCTCACGGAGCACGCCCGTGGGCGACTACACGCCGCTGCGTTTTGCATAAATTACGCGTACAGTTGAGTCCGGCGCTCGCGTGGCCGTGCGGCGTTATTGTCAAAATAATGCGGGAGCAGGTTGCCGCTGCAGGCTTGATAAAACAAATAGACCCGGCACACGTGAGTTGTATATTCGACATTCTCCCGGGGCCCGGACACTGGCCAATTGTTTCCACCGATCACGGAATTAAACTTAAAAAGAAAAGGGCGCGCGCGTTAGGTCTGGGGGGGAGGGGCGTTCGCCGCGCTACCGAAGCGAAACGGGCCCGTTCCGCGCGATCTTAACGAGTGTCGCGATAAGCGGATGAAAATAAAGAGCCACTCTTTGCCCTGGGATCGCCCCTGGGGCCAATGCTTCGGAGCAAAGAGCGAAGAAAGAAAATTCTCTGTCTTCGGAGAATCATGAACAGGCACGAAGCACTGTACCAGAAAGTAGTCCATACCTGAATCTATCTCAACAATGGTACAGTCGAGCACTAAAAGTGATATTCGCTTGTGTGTTGCTTCGTAAAAAGGAGAAGTATGATTTCGTTCAGACTTGCCGTCATTTTTATATTGATATATACGATCGTTAATTCGATCATCTATTATAAAAGGGTCTCTGTAAGTTGACCAACAGGTAAAATATCTCAAATTTCTGATATGAAAATATATGCATCTTTGAATTGACTCGAAACACAATTAACACCTCTGCGATAAGAAGGGGTTGTAGAATTAGTTGCATTGCTTAAAGAGGAGTTCATTTTAACTAACGAAGTAGATATTGATCGATTTTACGGTAAGACAATTTTTTTTCTCTAATGTCCTGTTGTTTTAAAATCGAATAAAATGCAATATACTTTTGTCACATCGAAAAGAAAAGACTGCTTATTTAATTTTTCGTCCTGGCATATCTCGTGTTACAGGAGGTCCTACTGTATTTCACAACGGGAGACTGTAACTTCGCCTCGTTCCGCGTAGAATGCCTCGAGTGGGCGTGACTTGTTTGCCCCAGCTTTTAAACGGAGCCGGAGCAATGCCCCGGAGGGCAATTTGGGCTGACGGTCGCGTCGGAGAAATTAAAGTTTAGCTGGTCCAGTTCAGCAGCCGCGTAAAAAAAGCTTTAAACTTCGTTGCAAGAGGTCTGGCTTTCTTTTTCAACAGGCTTCTCGTGCGCTGTCGAGATTACTAGCAGTTGGTACGCCTGTTGGAGGAGTCCTCCGCGCAGGGCGCACCGTGAAATTATAGATTGCATTCCCGCTTCGGCTGTTCGCCCGCCGTAAACAGGCTTTCCCGCAATTGGTGGTTACGGTGTTTGAAAGAGAGCACGGACTCCCCTCTCCCCTCTCTCTCTCCTCTCTCTCGCCGTCTCTCGTAATTGAAGCTTGTCCTTCATTGACAAGAAGCAACGGGCGGGTTTCAATAGAAACGTTTCGAGCGCGTTCCGCGGAAAGAGTTAATACGCGTAATTTTGTGGGAAGAAGGTAAACGCGTATCCCGTTCTGCTCGGCATCCAGAGAAAGAATGGACGAAAGGAAGGGGAGAGAAAAAAGATCGCGAGCATGGCGAGACAAATGTGAACACGGGAGACCGTGCCAAATGCACCGTCGTTTTTCTTATCATCGTTTATTAAAAGCGTCAGCTAAGCGGGACAATGGAAACGGACTCGTCACGAGACGCTCTACCTGCATAATCCCCGCGGACAGCTTTTAAAATACGAACGGCATGACCGACGACTCAAAACCGCTGTTCTATGCTCTTTCTTGCGGAGACGTAATGTGGAAGTGTTTACACCGGTTGCTTTCCCGGTTCCGCAAACACTGAAATGTCGCAACATTGTTTTCACGAATATTCGCAACAACAGTATCCAAACAAAATCGTTTCCAGAAAATCGAACATACGAAGACAGAATTCAATTTTCGTTTCATTTCCGTTGTTTCGCAAATACTGAAATGCCGTTTATTAATTTTACACACACACACAGCCGTGACAATATTCAAACGAAATCGTTTCCAGAAAGCTGAACGGTGAAAACAGATTCGAATTTCCGTTCAATTTCCTTGTTCCGGTGTCGAGGAAAACGTTAAACTCGGCAAAAAGTTTGTAATTAATATCGTTAGCCGACGATTCGCGATACGCATTCGGCGGAGCGGAACTCGCGAAATATTTTCATCGCGTGTCGCGGGACACCCGAAACGTCGAACCGTCAAAGCCGGATCGAATTTCCGTTTCATTTCCCTGTTCCGGTGTCACGGAAAACGGATCGACAGTCGCATCTGCATAATCCCCGTTGAGCAACGATGAAAAAAAAAGCTCGACGACGAGCGCCCGGAAAAGCGTCGGACGTTCTATTTCTCTCGCGGAAAAATAGTAATTCCGTAACATTTAGCCGGCATGGATCGAGGCCGGGCCGAAAACGTGGGACCGTCGAAACTGGATTGAATTTCAGTTTCATTTCCTCGTTCCGGTGTCGCGGGATCGACGGTTACCATTGTTACGGCAAGCGTTCCGGTGTTATGCGTGCAACGTGCACGGCACGGTGATAAATGTGAACGTACACGAATTCCGCGCGTGGGTGGCTATTTAAAGAAAAAATGGTTTAGCGAATTCGTATCCGCGAGGTAGACCGGCACGGTTACGGGACGAATGCGAGGCCCCGTCGAATCGGACGCGGCAGGATGTAACGGGTCGACAGCTTGACATTGAGAGATTCGAGCGATTATGAAAAAGAATCGGCCGTATCGGGACAACGGGTATCGGACTACTTATGGTAATTCGAAACGAGTTCCAGCCGACAGAAAATATGTCGTAGCGCGTTTACTACTGGTGTGCCTAAGGCGTGGACAAAAGATGAATTTGAGACCGATGACCTTTCTCCTCGAGGAGAAAGAGAGAACGAGGGAGAGTGAAGAAGCAGAAGCAGAAGAAGACGTAGAAGAGGAAGAAGAAGAAGAAGAAGAAGAAGAAGAGGAAGAAGAAGTAGAAGAAGAGGAAAGACGAAAGAGGTGATGTAGAAAGAGCGAAAGAGAGATAGATAGGTGAAAGAAAGAGAAAGAGACAGGTCAAGAAAGATCATTCTCGAAGGCTCCGTTAGTTGATCAAGCGCGAAGGCTATTTAACATTCCGTGTTTGGAAAGGACGCACTTACTTTAGGAATCGCAGATGTTCAACGGACTGGCAGTGCTAGTTTTCAAACTTGTTCTCGCTGCTCTCGCTTGATCTTTCCGTTTCACGCTCCTTCTCCGGTTCTCCGCCTCTCCTTTCTCTCTCTCTGCCGTGTCCCTCTCTCGTTCCCTTTTTCCCGACGCGACTCCGAGAAAAAGGCCTGGGCGAGAACCGAGTGTCGAGGGCCGGAGGAGAGTCAGGCGTGCAACACGGCAAAAGGGTTCGGGCCAAAGGCCGTCGCACGCACGGCAAATATTCGAATCGAGGGATGACAGCTTGCACAACAAGTAGGTCATAAGCGGTACAGACAGCGAAACGGGCGACGAACAGCGACGGGAACGGGTTAACAGTTCGATTCGAAAGTGAAACGGGGTGCGTGGAACGCGATCACGCGTGTTTACGTCGCCGGAACTCACCTCGGCTCGACGGGGACTGCGGTAACGGCTCGTAACGATTTGAAACGAGCGCACTGAGTCCACTCCATGCTTGGTACACGCACGACCACTCTCTTCCCCGCTGGCTTTTCTCTCGGTTCTAATCTGTCCCGGCACTCGTGGACATGCTGGCTCCCGTTCGACGCGGATAAAGATCGTCGGCGCACACTAATACTCGACGGTCACGACGCAGAGGCGCGAAAAACGCGAAAATCCCGACCGATCCGCGGTATAATGTCACGAAATACGTACAAGAGTCGGCGAACCTCGAACCGCGACAGTGGCGACTGCCCGCGACGAGCGGGTCAACTAAATTCTCTAGCTCCGAAAACACTTTACACTGAGCACACGGTGCACACCAGACGCGAAACTCCAATTTCTCGCGAGAACCAAATTGTACGGCGCATGCGTTCTGCGGTTCGTTATGAACACAGCCCCAGGTCAGCGCATTCGAGTGCGCATGCGCCAGTCTATCCCATGAATTGTACCCGCGTTTGTACCGTTATTGAGGTCTAGAACCGGGTGCATTTGAAAGCGACGCTATATTGTATTTTGAAAGTTATTCAAAATACAATAATAATCAATCCATTCGAGATAAGTTGTTGAAAACATTTTAGTGACACGAATTTATAAAAGAGTCCGCGAATATGTTTGGGTTCCAAAGTTTTGTTGCGATAGGGTTTTGTATGATAAATCGCACAATTCCACGATAAAACAATCGTCAACTATCATTTTGTTTTTTTTATTCAATGTTTAGCGTTTTCAATAAGATACGTTGTTTTTTTAGTAAATCCGTGGTTAGCTGGACATGTTAACCTCTCTTGATAGTGTAGTAGAAAATGGCGCCATTTTAAGGGGCTGTTTAAATTATTTGAATCGTCTACCACAGTGTTACGTGTTAAGAATTGTAGCACTTTTCGTTTTCCATTTCTCGCCTAAAGTCTCTTCTTCTCCTTCTAATTCAAGATCCAGAGAAAAGGATGAAAGTATCGATTAAAAGAAGCGCGGCAGTTATGGGTGTTTGGAGGGTACTGAAACCACCCGATTGGGGAACACAAACGTTAAAGATTCGAACAGAGGAATCGTCTCTACTGTGTTCCATGCCTAGGGGATATTGCCCCATCGGTTACTTACCCCCACTCCACGCCGTGAAAGACAGTTTGAAAGGATATCCGCGCATAACGGTGAGAATTATTTTCTCAATATTTCTGTAATTTTTGTCACTTCTATTCGACTTACAGAACGCAAAACAACAGACAATCACTTCTTTTATATAAAACAAGTCATTTATTCATCATAAACTTATTACAAAGAATACTATGATACAATAATCGACCGATTTTGAATTCTGCGGGAAATCTCAGGTGTTGTCATTCCCGTAAGATTTTTTTATATTCTTTAAACGTTAAAACTTGCAATAACTTATTTTTGTATGTCGCGTCTAAAATGTCGTACAATCCATTTTCAAGGGGAGACAGATGGTTTGCATAGATTTTCAAAAGCGTTTTGAATGTCGATGATTTCGGGAATTCGATATTTACGCGCGAACTTATCCACATTAAAATATCGTCCGACAGTACGTTGGTAGCGAAAGATCCCATGTGTTCCGAGAAAAATTTCACGCAAGTTCGCGACACTTCGACAGGCTCGAAAAAATCGTAGTTCGTGCACTTGTTGAACACCTGAAATCAAATATCAACTGTTTGTTTAGTATGTCTTATCTAGTTTACTCTTCTTGGTAAACATGTTTACTTACGTCTGTATCGTCCATTTCGTAGTCTGCGTCGTCCAAAAGAGAAGTACTCCAATAGAAAAGGACAACGCATAGAAGTTCAGAATTGGCGGGATACATATGCCCGTAGAATTTCGTCAGAAGCATATCCAACGCGGAGGACCCGCTGGGTAAGGTACAATTTACTTCAACGCTATCAATTAATTCAAATGTTTCGCGTCGTACTTCCGCACTATTATCAAGTAATAATTGCAACGCTGTTGTCCACCATTGGACTTGAGCAACTATAACAATGCATTCAATTAATACTTTGTTTACAAATTAAAACAGGAAGATTTGATAAACGTACAGCGATATTCAGAGTGCCGACAGCAGGGTAAAAAAAGATCTTGCATTATTTGCAGCACAGATTTCCGGAAATCTGCATCCAAAGACGCGATCCAAAAATTATCACAAAAGTTGTTGTACACGTCCTCGGTACATTCCAAGTTGATTTTCTCAATGTCGTCAAAAGAGACTGCAGTTGCATACGATTTTCCGAGTAATCTCAAATAAGAATCCCTCTCATGGTAACTACCTTGATCGGTTAATCTTAATTTGTTTAAAACGAACTTGCAGATGTTGATTAATTTAGAACAGCTTGATGATCCAAACCGATCTGGATGCATCAAGCTGTTATAAAGGAAATTGAACATTGAATCTTGCAGTTCAGGATTATACTGGCAAAAATCCTGTTCCGAATTGCAGATTATATCAATTGCATAGTCTAATAACAATGTCGATGCATCTTTGTGTACTGGTTCGTTAATTACGTCTACAACAGTGGACCATGCGACAATTTGTGTTTCTGGAGTTATTAAACAAGAAAAATATATTCTTATTGGTACAGCATGACCAATTAATCCCGTCTCTTTGGCTACAGATAGTATAAACTTGATAAGGAATGTTTTATAATCTTCTCGTGCAGGTCCTTGTTTTAATCTCCTTAATTCGATTAAATGCGATTGCAGTGCGTCTAGCATTGCAACATGTTTAGTCAAATAAGTTTTATCTACTTGAAATATTTTGTCACACACGTTTATATAAACTGTAGCCAATAGGAAACACGGGGGATTTGAATTTTCCCGCTCCAAGTTCTCCAGAATCCAGGCGGTTCTTTTAAAAAACCTGTTCCAATCTATGCGAAATGATCGGAGTTGCTCGTGATTAAAATGATTCAGTATTTCGAATATCTGAAAAGAATATAAAAACAATTAATTCCCATGATTTTCTCAAGATATAGGAGTACATTATTCTACAAATACCTGTAGCATGTAGCCATGTATCAAATTCAATGATGGATGGCTGGTCTCGGCAGATATCACATACTCCATTATCTCCATCAAAACATTTCCCACCGACTGTTCCGTCAGTAGAGCTACAAGCGCTCTGGCTGCTAATTTACGAGTCTCGTATACTTCACTCTTAGCGCATTGCGTTACCAAACCGACGAGATTATTGATCTAAAACACACATATATGTTTAATTGTTAAAATCACTGTTCTATAATGCTTGCTTACCTTGCACTGGATGTCTGTGTGCTCGCAACTATAACTGAGGTACAGCCGTGATAATAAAAGCAAAATAGATTGTACATTCGTTTTCATGATGGTTTCATTCATCACCACGAATGATTGCAACTCGTCCAAAATGAAAGGTAACAAGTAGGGATATTTTTCAAAAAACATCCTATAGTTCATTTTGTTGTCTGTCGTGAGATTGATGTGATCTTTAGTCCTCTGCACACCAAATATTCTAATAATCAGGGCACTGAAAAGCAACGTAGCTGCATTTCTTTCCTGTGAACAAGGAAGCATTTTTATATTCTTTATTATTCTACTACAGGTGCGAGCTATATTTTTAATATTTAGTAATCATCATACCGCCCACGTTAGAGCGTCGTAGCTCCTGAACGCTGCTATTAAACCATCAGCTATATAGTCGTTTACAACTTCAGCCAGATGGGAATGTCTAAAAATTGCTCTCAAAATATTCAAAGAATGAGTCCTAATTTCTGTAACTTTAGCGCTGTTTCCCTCCACATGGCGGACATCTTCATCAGTACTCAGTGATCCAAAATCGTCCTCATATTCTGAAAACACTGTATCAGTGTACAGCAACTGTTTCACGTTCTTCCACAAGTCTGTACTCTCCAATTGCGTGAACCCGAGCAATATTTTCATCATTGAATCAAAAGTTTTTGTTTTTGTATCCTTGTGTGGGCGAGGTTCTGTAGACAGCAATGCCTGTTTAATGAAATTCTTATTATTATCCAAATTCAGATCGTAGAAAAAAAAGAATATTTACCTGTATCATGAATGGTACGCCAGCGCTTCTTCGCGTTGCACATAGCTTCAAATTCTCTTCTTTAATCCCTGTGATTGCAATCAGAATCTGGTGCAACCACATCCTGGGCAGCTCGTTTAAACTTTCTTTCTTTAAACGCCATAAACGAGAACAGAGTTGACTGAAACCTACATGCGCCTGTTCGAATGCTCCCCTGTGCTTTGTTTCAGTCAGCAAAGTCACCAAATGTTCTCCAATCCTGATAATCTATTGCAGGAACAATTTGGCTACTTTACTATTTGAAAATAAGTCCGTTTCGACATCCGTACTATAGATCAAGAAATTTTACTTGCTCTTCGATTAGAAGGCCTGTGGAAAGATCGTCTTCGCTTATGGGTGCCTTGGTAGCAAGGAAACCAAATAGTAGACTAACTTCCTTCACGGTGCGCCATGAGCAGAGTAACACCATTTGCGGTGTTACCACTTTTTTTTCGGGCGAGGAACCGCACATCTCGCGAATAGTTTGCAAGTTAAGGTCCATCGGTAGGTGTCCCTCTGGAGAGGAGTTATTAACTATCACAGAGACCGCATTGCTAAATTCAAAGCACAAATTGATCAGTTCAGCTATAGTGTCTTCCCATAACAGTTCTTTCCCTGCCTCTTTTAAGTTGCTTTCTTGCAACAGGCTTCTGATGCAGAAGAGGTAGCCGTACAAGGAATGTTTGGTCACTGTCATCACTATGTTTTCTCTTGCTAGAACATGAATCTTCTGCAAATGTAAGACATTGATTATTATTTCAAAAAGTCAACTCAAGGTCACATAATAAATATAATAGATCGTCAATATCTCTAAATGAGTACCTTTAATCTTTTAAGTAGAACTAGTATTAATTGCAACAGCACAGCTTCTGCTACATTCTCAGACCACTTTGTCACTCCATATAGGGTGTTCAGAACATTTTGTATGACAGGGGACAACATGCAGACTTTTAGCATGTATGCTGATGTAATGCTGTCAATCGGTCTGATACTGTTACCTAATTCTATGGCGACTGTAACAAGATCAAGAACATTACTTTCCTTGTCTAGCTCCAGTAGACTTGGATCTACTGACTTTATTAAATTAAAAGCCATTTCTTTATTGGCTTCATATGTATCCAACAGCATCAGATCAAATAAGGCTTTTATTTGTTCCGCTTTCCAGCCAATGTGCTTGAATTCATTGTCTAACAAATCTCTCGTTAATAGCAGTATCTGAAGAGATGATCGCCTTCTAGAATATGTTGCATCTGGTCCGCATATGCACATATTGCGTAGAGACTCAAAAAAAGTGCAGTACATCTCTATATCCTCTTCCAATTTATTGGATATTGCGTAAGATGCATCCAATACTTCTTGTTTCATCACTTGGGGATCGCAACTCTTCTCATAGTGGCTCCTCATTTTTATTTCTTGCGAGCATTGTCTCCTCATAACTGCAAGACTGTCTTTTATCCGCTTCAAAGCCTGTAGAAAGAAACCGTTTACGTTGCTAAATTGATAATAATAATCACCTTACCTAGTATTTATCTTACCTTCTTTATTAGGGGCACAAACTCCAACTTCTCCTTAAAATTAGCGTGCAGGAATGAAATAATTATATCGAGCTCCCTAGACAGGAATTTTAAAGTGCTCTTCTTGGATTCTATTACAACCGCAAGTACATCTAATTTAATCTAAAAGGAATGCAAATTTTAATAACATAGAAATATTAAGATTTTACTACTTTCATTAAAAGTTCGTTCACCTCGTCGTCGTGATGATACACACAGCGTTCCAGGATATCGTAAGGAATAGAATCCCGCCAGAGATGTTCATCCTTCGGATTTAATAGCTTCTCATCCGTATCTAATTCTCCATTGCGTTTCAATGCTAACAGCTCCTTCAATTTCTTCTTGATTTCCTCTTCGTTGTACATATTCGACTCTGCTCGCTGCTAAACAGTGAAGCACGTGCGCATCGTTTGACTAGAACACGTCCAACGAGTTGTACGCATTATAAGCTGACCTCGTGGTTTTTTTTATCGACAGCCAGTAGGAATGAATGAAGCTCGTACAGTGCTGGCCTCTATTACGAAAGGCCATACTACATAAAGGGGAATATGCATTCAATGCAAAGACTTGTTATACCCAATTAACCCTCTGACATAAACTCTGATTATTCTTACTTTCTACATCCATTTTCCACCCAAGGTATTTCCAGATTATTTAAATGAAGCCGTCAGCAAATACGTTATAGGCTCAATAGAATGTAAAAGCGTCGTTACTTTAAATTAAATGAAATTTAATTAAGGATAAAAATCTACGCGGATCAATAGAAGAATTTTAATGAAAGTCGTGCTTTCGAAGCAGCTTCCAAATATAAAAGTTTAATTAGCTAACGAAGCCAAACATTTTAATTATTCCACGTTACATTACGCAGCACAGCTCTGTGCCCATTTATGTACCACAAAATAACTCGTAAGCAATGCTGGCTATTTTAATATTCCGGAAAGTAATCGCAGCCAACGATCTTTTGTTAATTAAAATAGAATCGTCTACCGAAAATAAGAGATTCGCAATAATTGTGAGACGAGTTGACACGTATCGGGGTAGTGGTAAAACTGCGATTTGGCCGAAAATGTTACCGCAGCTTGCCACTTTATTTGACAATTCAATTAGCCCTTTCGGCATTGCGAATCGAGCACAGAGATTTGGAAGTTCCGGGCGGGATGTTGGCGCAGGATTTTCGAAACTTCGGTCAATAAAACCAGGCCAGAGAGTTTGATTGGGAATATTGGCCGAATTAACGAAATCGCGTGGCAGAGCGGCCATTCATAATGTTTAAACGCGGAAGCGTGTTCGTCATCAGTATTTGCCGAGGCTCGTTACTAGGCGATACGACCGCGAAAATCACGGGGGTTGGGATCGCGGCGTGCACAGGACGCTATTGATTCGAAAAATAACTGGAACCACTAATTTAAATAATTGCGTGTCGAGCGCCGAGACTTGTATGGGCCACTCTAATAAATTGCATTTTAATTAAAATCGATTTTTAGCCGGTGTACACACGCGAATCGAACTAACCGGAAGCTATTACCTGGGGCACGGCAACACAACGCGCGGCCATGTGACGGCCGTGGTACCGGAAGCGACGCTAATTGTCCCACGGCGTAACGAGGATATCGGGAATAATTTATCCGGGCGAATAAAATGCACGCGATACAACGGCGCGGTGCAACGGCCCCCGGACACGGTCTCGAGGTTCACTTTTTAAATAGTTCCCGACTAATTTTAAACCGGCCCGCTGTCTTATTGTGTAACTGACCTATACCGAGACCGCTCGACGTCGATTTTCCTTTCCTTCCTGCCCACCCGGCTGTCCTCGTTGTTGTTGTTAGTCTAATTAGGATGGGGACCTTACGGGCGCCTCTCTCACCTGCGCCGTGCACTCGTCCAAAGATAGACTCGAGCCTCGTCCTCCGAACGTCAAACATTTTAATGCACCGCGTTTCTCTTGTGCACACATTATTACGTTCCACATTGTTTACCATGGTTCAATTATTCATGTTTACTTACTAACGTACGCGAGCCGGATGAGAACGCTGAAGCATCGGATTCTATCTTTAGGTCGTTCCACGCTGAACTGATCCGCTTTTTCCTGTCGATATCGGCGAGTTTCTTCCGAACCGAGTACAATAAGGTGTGGCATACGCGAAATTAACAGGAGTTTAAGTCATCAATTTGTCTGTTTCATATTTTTGCTCGTAAAACATAAGACTATCGTATTTTTGAAAACAGTTTATATCTCCGAATTTTCATCACGGAAACTGCTAACTGGATCGAGCTCGTGTGCATTTTATTTGAATCAGCAACGTTTGCTCTACCGTAAGGGCATTTTTCGATACCGTACCTTCCACGTGACGATGGTTATCGAACATTTTCCATGCACCGTGCGATAATTGGTTTATATTCTACTTCGCGTCCTCCAATTGCGAGGAGTCTAACAAAACAGAAGCCCCCTCCCCCCATCCAGCATTTTCACGGTGCAGGGCAAACATTTTCACCGAACGCCATCAACGAGTGGAAGAACAGAAGAACAATATTTAATCGCGACTCCCCGGCACCGGTGCGTCCCGCGCAAATCGAGTTACTCGTAACGAGCGTAACGACTCCTTGGTATTTTTATTTCCCCGAGTGGTCTCGCGACCGGCGAAATTTTTTCTCCGCCTGGGAGGGAGCCGTGTCCGCGCCACGTGGCTGCTGCAGGAACGGAAAAAATAACGGAGTCAACGGTGAAAATGCATTTCATGGAAACTCGAAGCAAATGTTGCACGCTGCCAGGAGCGGGACGAGGCGGAGGAGGCTGAAAGAGATGCGACGCAATGGCTGGTTCCCATCGTGGGGCTTACGATAAGGGTCATAAAGCGAGGCAATGAGATCCGTTGCCTGTGTATCGTTGTACCTGTACGGAGAAGCGTGACGTTCGCCAGAGACACCGACGAGAAACTTCTGCCGCGATCGTGCTTATCGTTGCTGCCTTATCTGTGTTTTCCCGGGCGTGCATGGCTCGCTCACGAAAAACGGGGACATTGGTATATTCGAGAGAAAAAAAAATCCTCCATTCCGGAGATGGGATCGAGCAGGACAAAGCCGTATCTCCGTGGCTGCAGACAGAAATTGAATTCGAATGTGGTTCCTTTCAATGCAACTGACTTATTAGAACGAAAAAGTTGAGGCCACCAAGTCTGGGAGCCAATGTTATCAGCATTTCCTTTCGTTTTCGTCTGAAACGTCGTTTGCCGCGACTGTCGACGGAAATTGAATTCTGCAGAGTTGGTGTGGCTTGTTTTAATCTGTTCGCGTTACAAAGGAGATCGAAATTTTTCTAATCAATGACGAAGGGGTAAATTCAAAGACGACACTCGTATAACCTCTTGCCAAATTTTGACGAGTCTAAACGAGTCTTCGATACAAACCAGCAACAACCCGCTAACTATGGATACTATTTCTATCATTTTGTCCGATTAAAATCAGCACATTTTTACATTATCTTCTTTAACTCTTTTCGTGCATGAGATACACGCTCAAGGTTTATTACGCTCATCTCCAAGAACATATCTAATACATAAGGTATGTAAAATGTACGCATAATTTTATTATATTATGCGAAACATTTAAAAATGGCAAACGTCCTATCATTTTGTCCGGCACTGTACAATCGAAACAATTCTAATCGTAGTAACTACGAAGAAAATGGCACGAGCAGAGATTAAGAAAATGTTGCAATTACGAACATGTTTGTTGCGTCTTGAATATTTTTTGTGAATACCGTTAATCCTTTTATCATACTCGTCTAACATCTTCCTGCTAGTTGTTGCAAATTCTTCCCGGATCCGTCCAGCCAGCGCGCATCGTTCGAGACAAAGCGCGACGTACTGGCTCGCAATCGTTCGCTCGGCTCTGAAGAATGACTCGTTACTCAATAACTGGCGACACGTTCCCCGACACCGACTCCCTCGAATTTTCCGACACGAACGACTGTTCTCTCGTAATCTTCGCATTCCGTCGATTGTCCCCGGGACGGTTGACACCGCGGCCGCCATTAATGCCCGTCGGCGGGGAAAGATGAATCTTTCGGGGTTGCACAACAATTGTTGCCTTTCCTTACTTTAATTACAAGTCGTTGTGGGAAGGGTCCCAGACCGTTTCCGACCATTCTGCCGGCGAAGGTCTCCTCCCCGGCGACTACGGGACATTCTCTTGAACGCCGGTGCAGCAACGTGGGTACAACAAGGCAGAACAAATGCGCCGGGTTTTTCGCCCCGACAGAGGGATCTTATCTCTAACTGCGGGTTTCATTACGACTTTCCGGGGATTTTCGGTTGGCTCGCCGGGGAACGATCGAATTTAGCCTCCCATTGTTCCCGTCGGTTTTTGCGAAACGTTCGCACCGAAGGAAACCGCGATTCCGCTTGGCGCGTCCCCGCGACGAGAAGTCCCTCGTCGTCGCGAACGAGACCGAAGTTCAAACCGCTCTTTTCACGCGTCCGACTTGGAGTTTGTTCAACGCACAGGTAAATAACCGGGAATCGTGCGCTGATTCGATTTATCGACGGCAAATCCAATTACCGGCGAATTATCGGGCTTCCCGGATAATCGGCAGCTACCCGCAATCGAATTCAATGCGTTGCCCACCTTCGAACGGCTCGACTTTCAGTCTGGACGATCATTCTTGCGCGTTATACGGCTGCAACGGAATAAACATACCTTGATTAACTCTCCGAGTGGCCAACCAGTTTTGTACATACGGGGTGAGAAGTTGGTCTTCGATAAAATAGGACCTGTCGTTGTTGTCTCGCGTCCTTGGACTTTACCGCGGATTAAACTGCTTCTGCTTGACATTTAATCAGAAGTGTTCATTCTTGGCTTTGGAGCAGCCGTTGAAGACTCTCGAACAAGTTTATTTGTCGCTTTGAGACCTTGCCACAGACTCTGTTAATTGCTTCTTTGGTTTACCAGATGCCTCCTTCGGGTCAAAGCAAACTCAATTTCCGACCGTTTCTTCGAGCCAAAAACCCTTTAAGAGATTACGTTCCTTTTAGTGGTCGAAAAACAATGCTCCTTTGGGAATTTTTTTTTCAAAATACTCGTAAAGCAATAAGAATGAGGCTTTAGAGGCCTTATTATACATATCGTATTGTTAATCTTTAATCTTTATTGTTATGGAAAAAGAAACTATATATATATAGTTTGAGTACCCAACGGTGTGTATAATAAACTCTTCAAACCTAATTATTATTACTGCATAAGTATTTTCGAGATAAATATCCGAAAGAAAATTTGCTTTTCGGCCACTAAAAGGGTTGTAAGCTCTTAACCATAGCTCACGCGCGTCTCGCAACTAATGGCCAAACTTTGCCGCGAGGTCTGTAATTTCTCACAAAAGCCGAGAACACTATAATTTAGAGGATGGAGATGATCAGAGTCAGTTTCTCGTACTTGTCCAGAGAACAAGCAGCTCGACAAACGGACAAATAGCTCGTGTGCTCCGACAAATAGCTCGGAATAGGGCGCGGAAAGCTCTCCGATACTCGATTATGGCATTAGGTTCGAACACGCGAGGTTCGCCGGGAAGTTGCAGAAGAATATTCGACCGGGCGAGTCTCTCTGGCGTCGCGGCGACGGCGGTAAGTGCTTTTTAAACAGCAACGGGAACGAGGAGTGCTTTTCTAGCCCCGAGGTCGGTTTCCACGCTTTGTGAAAACTCTGCCGGGCGTGAACACTGCTGCTTCCGGGCCACTTGCGTCGCGCTTCTTAGAGAAGCCGAGGGGAACATCGCGAGAATTTACACGCGGAACACTGCAGAAATCGTGTTGCTCGCGGATTTCAGACGCCGGACACGGAGAGAGAACCGGGTCGACATCGGGCCCTGGGCCATGTAATAATACGTTCGGCGTTACGCCATGCCTCATCGAACGTTCCGTCGCGGCTGACCGCGCTTCATTGTTTGCCGGCAAGTCAACGGCGCACCGCAAATCACACTTGCAGCTTGTAGCACGTGTTGCACGGTGCACCGCTGATACCCGATGCCCCCGATTCCGCGATACCGATGTGCTATGGACTTCCTACGTGAACAAACTCTCGAATCTCAGCTCTCGAATCTTCCTTCTTCTTCGCCCCTCCGAGGATATTGTATTCCGAGCTGTGGAACAGTCGGGTTGTCGTTGGTTCCTGCTATTTAAAACGGTAGAAAGTTTTACGGCACACTTCGACGTGCTCTGGACTGCATACACCCCATGGAATATTGTCTTCTTCGCAATTGGAGTATCTGAGAGAATTCCAATCTATATCTACTACAAAAGTATTCGCGACAACATTATTCGCTCAGCTTTTAAAACGCAATAACTTTTTGAGAACTGAACTAAATGATTTGCATCTTTTTGTTTGGATGACAGAGGGACTAGTCTATTAGACGATGGCTAAAAAGCTTTTTTTTTTAATTTTGCCATTACTTGGAATGAAAAGAAAAAATTAGAAACCCTCGTCTTTTTAACTTTTTTATCCGAGCCTATAACGATAATTTAAAAAACGCCTTTGCAGATCTCGGTAACTTATATGTGTGCTGAAGATTTGATCGAAATCGGTTAAATCGGAGCCGAGATAGAGGCGTTGGAGGGTTTTAAAAACTGCAGATTTTTTACAGTTTTGGGTCAAAATCGTGATAAAACTGCGATTTTTGCGATCTTTAATTTGTTGTAACTCGTAACAACGTCAACGGATTTCGATAAAATTTTCAACACGCATATAAGTTACCGAGATCTACGAGAGGCATTTTTTAAATTTTCGTTTCAGATAAAAAAGTTAAAAAACGACAGAATTTTATTTTTTTACGAATCCAAGTAATAGCAAGATTTAAAAGAAAAAGCATTTCATTTATCATCTAATAGGCTAGTCCCTCTGCCATCTAAAAAACATGCGAGTCATTTAA